TACGAAATGATATATGTGGTCATGTTGCCTGGTAGGAAGTCCACTTACAAATGGCTATATTACCGATAGAATAAATGTGACCAAACGTAAAAATTATCAAGACACATCCAGTAACAGCTCGGATCATGGGCAATTTCTGTACAGGTGGTGCATTCATTGGCACTAGTTGCGCCACACGATAAAACCTGTCCCTTTTTTGTTATTCACCTATTAGGTCATGTAAATTACATAAAATAGAAGAAATAAACAAATATGAAAGAACTCAAAAAAATTAATTTTTATTGGTGAATAGATATTTACTGTATGCATTTTCGAAAAATAATTTCATAACTGCATTGAATGACTGCAGAAATAAATAACACGAGCCCCTAGTCCGAAATCTTCCTTTTTGCCTTATCGAAGAGAATTTAAGAATCATATTCGCAAACAGCACCCAAAACACGAAACGCAACAGTGGCTACACATGGCAAGCATAGTATCAAAAAACTTTTTTATTTGTCATCGATTCGACTGAAATAGTAAGCGTGTTCCAGTATATTCCGCCCCGACTGGCGCCTAGTTCTTACGTAGTAGCTGATAAACAGTCAAGGTAGGTCCGCATATGTTGCATACAATCATAAATTATTTTAAGCTATCTAATTAGGTAGACAATGCACTATCCTCAGATACCTTATTGTTTTGATATTTGTTGTCTCCGTAAATTTAATCTCCATCCTCCTAACTTTGTAACCCGTGAAAGTTGATTTGCATTTTGACAAGGATGATATCTTCTACTAATCAACAAAAAGAAAAAGCTCCAATAAAGATAAAATTGGCCTAGAAGGCTACTTTATCTGGTTATCTTTTTATTCACACCATCAAAGACTCCGATGAAGGCTTTTGCTGCAGCATTTCTAGAAGAAATTTGGGTGATGTGTGTTAGCCAGTTTAATCGAAATTTTCCGACATAACAGCTTAATCTAAATGTTTCTTTTTCACTTCTAAATCTACACCATAATTCCTGCATTAATTTTGTGCATAAAACGCGGTTATGGCATTGTTTGCTGATTTTTACCTGCTTATATATGCATAAATTAGGTTTATTTATTTTTTAAACCCAAAAGTCTAACTTTTAAGACTTCATGCATCGTAATAAGACATGTGGTTATCCTCGTCTGTCTTATTTATTGGCTACTGGCCACTTAAATTTACTAACATATGTGAGGAACCATCTGCAAATAGAGCTACCTTCGGAAAAAAAATTGGCTTTTCAAGAAGTGTAAAGCCATGTCAGTGTGAGGTAGATGATTCAAGTGTTAGGTATTCAAAATTTGACTGAAAATGACTGCTAAATTTTGGAGACATTAGCATCTCAGAGATATCTGGCAGCCTTCAGTACCAGAGTTCTTCGTCCTAATTTTCATAAAAAGGAGTTGTGTTTTAAAGCCAAGTCAAACCCGAAGCCCTGATGTTCTGATTCAAACTATAATTCAACAATTCATTGATATTTGAGACGATAAATTTCATGTTGATTGTAACTAAAAATCAATAATCTATGCACAAACATAATAGCGGGGTCTTTTTCGCCCTCAATTTTACCATTACGAAACGTTAACTTTTATGTGATTAAGTTGTTTAACATTTGTGGTTAACATGGTCTTGAACCATAATGCATTCAGCTGCCTGCGAGTTACTCATTTCATGTTCTCATCAAATTAGTTTACGAGTACTTTGATGGAAAACATTTGGAGATTAAGTTATCCCGTTATTTTTAAGAACGAGTGACAAATTTTTTTGTGACTATGCTACTACCTCCCACATAAGTAGTAAACTGCGTCATGGGTTTGTGCGTTAGGGAAGAAATACATTATTTGTCATAGGCAGTATCTACCATTAATTCTTAAGTCTCAGCACTGAATAACATTCTTATGGACATTGATTTTATTTCCAAAAGCAAGGGAAATATTTGGCCAATTTAAACAACAAATCCGTGCATTTTTATTTCAAAATCCACTACTCATTATGACATTTTTGCAAAAGTAATTCGTTTATTTGTACAATTTCTCGCATTAATTTTGTAATTATTCGACTTATCATCATAATTTGTATTTACTAAAGCCTTTATTCGACAAAAAGGACTGCGTTTTACTGAATCCTTTTGGTTAAGAAAAACTAACCTTTAGAGTCACATTTTTAAAGCAACAAGCGTATTTTTTGTTTAAATTTGCATATGTGCTCTCGTGATCTAACAAACTACCGCACAATGAGCGCTAGTCGAGATCGCCTTGCGGCTACTTGACTGGCTTCACTGTGATCATCGCAGTTTGAATTCACCCAGCTAAACAGACAATTCGCTTTCAGTGAGGCAGAAATTTTGAAAGAATCTCGTGGCTACTTTTAGTGATTGGACTGAATATATTCAAGACTAAATTGTCCGACATAGACAGTAATGCACACTGTGCACGAGGCACCAATGGTGACAACGATACCAATTTGTTCTCAACGACGAACACATCACCTTCTTGTCGAGATCAGAGCAACTCGTATTATCCCCTGTCCACGGTGGTCACTTCTTGTCCTCAGAGGCTTGTCAAATCTCAGGCATAATCTTTCGGCAACTTTTAACAAAAAAGATAAAGAAATAACTGACTTACACACACTGAATCGTTACCAAGAGAGAAGTTAGCACCTCATTCCACAAAGAAGGCCAATACGTCCGCCAAAAACCATCGATCAGAGAGTTCAGCAGTCTGGCTCTTGAGACGGATCTACCAAAGTGCGTGGACTCTAATCGATGACGGTTAAAGTTGAAACAGAACGCCAAAGACCCCACAAGCGTGCATATTTTACGACAAGCAAAACGCCACTTGGCTTTCACCATTCACTTTACACAAACTCGATCTTGATTGGTGTGTCGAACCGAGATGATTCCGGTAATTGCATTAACTCCGACCTGTGTTGAGAGTAAATTTACACTCACCATAGGCGCACATGGGACCTGCTTCCACAGGCATAACTCTGAGTGTTTGATTATTCAAATCCGCGCCAATCCTGACCAAACTTTCAGAAGCTGTTGGTCATTAATTCGCCCGGTCTGTAGTTCGTCCAGTAATTAAATCATGGACACCTTGATGAGCCACCTATCACCTTTGAGTGGGGTCTTTGCGGGAATACTCCGCACGACGCCATCGATCTCAAATACTGCAAGCTAAATTCTGTTGAACACCTCACTTCAGACCCTCGTTTGTAGAATTTCTCTGCTATGTTAACTGTCGGTCGCACGTGAGATCGAAACGGAGCTAGCTGTCGAATCCATGGCTGTATTGACCTCGTCGAGTTCTTAGTTCACCATTCCATTCTTCTTCGCAGATTTTGTGGATTCTGACATACAACAAGAATGTCACAGTCATTTTCCGAAGCAGTTCAACGATACGCAACTTCTATTTTCAAGGCTCTCGTCGTCTTGCACAACACGCTAGGAATGTGCCTGAAGTGGACATGAGGCGAAAATCCAAATTTTTTTTCCGCATAATTTACATCAAAGTTCTTTTGACCAACTGGATGTACACTATGGCAATCGCATCAACGTAAATCGGCTCAAAGATTGACGACAATTTCGTGGTCGTGGTCAGACACACAGAGTCGTCGGTGAGCTGTTGAATACGCTTCTGCGTCACGATGAGTCAGCGACGTTGAATCTCGCTTGAATGTGTATCCAGAAGTACCCGATATCGGTACACTGCGACACAATCCACAACAAGCATCGCTCTTTTTG